TCAGTATTCTCCTCTAACACCATGCTAAGCATGTTCTTCCCTTTTGGTTTTCTAACTCCAGGTCTTTGTACATTTCATTACAATATTTGACTTTGTCTTCTTAAGCTCCCCTTTGAAATTTTCTTTCAGTTCTTTAACTTCCTTATTTCTTCCATTCACTTTAGAAGTGCTACACTCAAGAGCAAGCTTCAGAACCTCTTCTGACATCCACTTTGATCTTTTCTGCTTTTCTTGTCTTTTTAGTTACTTTTGCTTTCTTCCTGTATGATGTTCTTGATGTCCTCTCACAACTTTCTTGTCTTTGGTCATTAGTGTCTAATGCATTCAATCTTGAGATACACTCTAAATTCAGGTGGGATCTATTCAAGGACATATTTGGGCTCTTCTGGCCTGGCTTTAGTTTTCTTCAGCTTTTGCCTGAATTTGCATATAAGCAATTGATAGACTGTTCCACAGTCTGACTTTGACCTTGTTTTGGCTGATGATATTGAACCTCTCCATCATCACTTCCCACAGATATAGCCAATTTGATTCTTGTGTATTCCATTTGGTGAGGACCAGGTGTATAGTTGTCTTTTATGTTATTGGAAAAAGATATTTGCAATGAAGAAATTGTTGGACTTGCAGAATTCTATCGTGATATCTCCGTGTTCACTTCTACCACCAAGGTCACATTTTCCAACTATTGATCTTTCCTCTTTATTTCCAACCTTTGTATTTCAATCACCAGTAATTATCAGTGCATCTTGATTGCATGTTTAATTTCAGACTGAAAAAGTTGGTGGAATTCTTCAATTTCATCAGCACTGACTTTAGAAGCTGCTGCATAAGTTGAATAATAGCAGTGGTGGTTATGTGTTGTGGAGTCAGTTCATACTCATAGCAACCCTGTATAGGGTTTCTGAGGCTGGAAATCTTTACAGGAGCAGAAAGCCTCATCTTTCTCCCATGGAATGGCTGGTAGTTTCAAACAGCTGACTATGAGATTAGCAGCCCAACATGTAACCACTATGCTACCAGAGCACCTTGAATAATAGTGGTATTAACTGGCATAGGGAGTCCTGGTGTGGCACTGTGGGTTAATGTGCCAGACTGCAAAGCCATTTGAATTGCAAAGTCAGCAGTTCAAGCTCACCAGCTGCTCCTCAGAAACCCTAACCGGGTCGCTATGGGTCGGAACCGACTCAACGGCACTTCACAACAACAACTGGCATATGGCAATTATCCTGTCCCAGACAGCATTGTACTTAAGAATAGAGCTTGAAATATTCTTTTTGGCGATGAATGTAATGTCATTCCTCTTTAACTTTTCATTCCAGGCAAAGGAAACTATATGACTGTTGGATTCAAAATGGCCAAAACCAGTTCATTTCAGCTCATTAATGCCTAGGATACCTATCTTTATGCATTCTGCTTTATTTTTGATAACGTCCAAATTTCATAGGTTTATCCTTCATACATTCCATGTTCTGATTATTAGTGGAGTTTGCGGCTGTTTCTTCTCAGTTGAGTTGTGTCATGTCAGCGAATGAAAGTCTTGGAAGCTTAACTTCATCCATGTCATTATGGTCAACTCTATTTTAAGAAGGCAGTTCTTCCCCAATTGTATTTTGAGTGCCTTTCAACTTGAGGAGCTCATCTTCCAGCACTAGAACTGACGATTTTCAGCTGCTATTCATAACAGTTCAGTGGCTAACTAACCATTCAAATGTGGTCACCTCTCCTTCTTCCTAGTTTGTCCTAATCTGAAAGCTCAGTTAAATACCATGGTAAATCTGCTGTTATTTAAAATATTGGTGGCATAGCTTCCAGCATCACAGCAATATACAAGCCATAACAGTTTCCATCACAGCAATATACAAACAATAATGGTTTCCATCCATTAAACTTCTTTAGTCATCAAAGTGAAATCTTGGTTTTGTTTTTTTAATTTCTTAATTTCTGCTTCCATAGGTGCTTACTGTTGATTCAAGTAGAATGAAATCTTTCAATTTCTTCCTCATTTATCATTGTTTCACTTATGGACCCATTTGTAAGGATTTCCTTTTTTTTCTTCACATATAGGCACAATCCATACAGAAAACTGGAGTCTTTTACCTTATCTTGCTGTTGTTGATGTTAAGTACTATTAGGTGATTCCGGCTCAGAGTGACCCTGTATAGGGTTTCTGAAGAGCAATTGGTGGGTTTGGACCAACGACCTTGTAATTACCTTAACTTGTTCTTAAGTGCTGTTGAGTTGAGTCCGATGCATAGCGACCCTGCATAAGGTTTCTGAGGAGCAGCTGGTGAGTTTGAACTTCCGACCTTGCAGTCTAGTGCTTATCCTATGATGTCACACTAGGGCCTTGCCTTAGGCTCTATTTTTTTTTTTTCAGGAAATCCAAGTGAAGACACAGACTTCAGATAGCTTGTGGAACTTTTCCATTATCTTTTCACTCTATTTTCTACAAACTTTTTGAAGTTCCCTTATATATAGTTGAGAATCTGCTATTATTTAGATGGCAAAATATATTTTTGTTTCATATGTACAATAAATGCATACATATTTTTCTCTATAAAGGCATATTTGGGGCCATTTGGATAACCACTTTATATTTGAATGCTTCCACTCTTTTCTAATTGTTTAAGTGATGTTATCAATAAATGCTAATTTAATTTTTAAGAACCCACGTCAAAGAAAAGGGACATACAAGATAAAAGTGATGTTTACTATTCTGTGAAGGGAAAATGAAGTAATAGAATGAAGGTTCATTTCAAGTAATATGAAGACTAGAAAATGATGGAATCATTGGAGTTTGCATCTGAGGCTGCACAAACTTGAAATAATCTGTGCATTAGCTGACAATCCAGATTCATGATTGTCATGTGAGTAACATGCTGTTAAGTGTCATTGACTCAGTTCTAATTCATAGCAAACACATATAGGGTTTCTGAGGAGCAGCTGGTGAATTTGAACCACCAACCTTGTAGTTCAAACTGACCTTACAGTCCAGCACTTATTTAATGATGTTAATATGAATTTTGCAAGAGTCACAGAGCAGAGGAAGCAGAAGTCTTCTACAGAAGAAAGTTGAGGGAGTTTGCTTTGGAAAGTGATAAATAAATTCTATCAAAATATTTAATAACATTAATGTTGTTTGCCAATGCTTTTGTTGTAACTGGGTTGTCTAAAGGTAAAATCAGATGCTACTAGGGTTTATGTAAAAAGTTGGGATAAAAACAAAGGTCACCATGAGGCCACTCAGTTGAGCATATGAGTTATATTTAATGAATGCTTAATGGATATATTAAATGTTAGGCCTCCACTAGGCAAGTGAGTGTTAGGGGATGAGGTTGGGTGGGTCAATACCCCTGGCTGGACAAACATTTGTGAGAAGTAAACAAGCCTTTCAATGGCCAAGTTGCTTATCAACTATGAGCACTTTCAGAGAACTGGGTGTAGGCTTCCCCACCCTTACTACCAACATCTGGCATAGCTGAAGGGAAGACTAATGCTTTTTTCAAAAAAAAAGAAATATATAATATATATATATATATATATGTATATATACATATACTTATATTTCAAAGTACACAGGGTTTGAGACTAAATTATTGTTCCTCATACTGAAGATAAAAGGAATAGTGAAATAATTTGGGGTCAAGAGGTTAAAATCCTGTGATAAGCCACTTCTGATAATGTTGATAATTGAAACTATGTGTGAATCTATAATCATATATATAGAGGGCTAAAGAAAGACACCTCCCAAAGCAGCATTTTCCAAGAGAGAAATCATTGCTGCTCACAAGCAGCAATGGGGTCATTTAAGACCTCTGTTTTCATCTTGGTCCTCCACCTTCTAGAAGGGGCCTTGAGCAACTCACTTATTCAGCTGAATAATAATGGCTATGAAGGAATTGTAGTTGCAATTGACCCTGATGTGCCAGAAGATGAAGCACTCATTCAACAAATAAAGGTAAGATAATTAAGCATCCCGTCGTCATAGAGACAGCATGAGTTCTTGAACTCCATCTGGGCAAACCTGGCAAGTTATTTTTACATCTCTGAGTCTCAGTTTCTTCATCTGTAAAAGGTTGATAAAAAAATACTTCACCATTAGAATTCTCATGAAGGATGCAATAATATATGAAATGTATTTAATCTAGGCCTTGACACATTACATTGTTAGTGCTCAGTCTATATTTACTAGCTGTGGATTATTTCATTGAAAATTATTTAGTTCTGCATGAGGGTTACTGCTGTTGTTGGTAAGTACTGTGGCATCGATTCCGACTCATAGTGATCCTGCACAGGGCTTCCAAGGCTGTAAATCTTTACAGGAGCAGAACACCTCATCTTTCTCCCGTGGAACCACTGGTAGTTTTGAATTGCTGACCTTGAGGTTGGCAGCCTGACTCATAACCACTATGCTACCTTGTTGTTGTTAAGTGCCATCAAGTCAATTCTGACTCATAGCGACCCTGTAGAGGGTTTCCAAGGAGCAGCAGGTGAGCTTGAACCATCAACATTGCAGTTCAAATGACTTTGCAGTCTGATGCATTAGCCCACAGCGCAACGAGCCACCTAAATTCAGCAGTTTTGTGAGATTCACAGAGTAATTCCTTTGCCTGATTTTATCCTTGGCAAATATCAGATTCTCCCTTTATTCTTAAAAGTGAACACCATCTCTCTGATCCTAATTTCAGAGTCCCAAATACAAAGTTCTCACTTAAGGAACAACTCGGATCCTTTCAATAATAGGGAACTCTACATTTGATTGCCTTTGAAGCCATGGATCCGCTCAGGACTGCTGAGCAGCAGCATCTCACTTGCTCTTCTTTCTCTGAGAATAGAGAAAGCGGCAACTTTAAGTGTTATGAATGTGGGAAGATTAGAGAAGTTATGGTCAAGAATGGAATACCTGTGAGTCATTCTTGCAGTAAACAGTTAAAAATAAGAAGAAAATACTTTATAAACGACCACTCTGAAATCTGATTGTCACATATCCAGGGCCATGATTATGTAATGACTGAGTATTTGTCTCAAATAAGATAATAAGAGTACTGTTAGTAGTAACGTCATAGATTTTGTAGGGATTCGCTTTTAAAATATCATAAGGAGATGCTGGGTGTGAGAACACTGTGTATAATACTTACAATTCTTCTGTCAGTCTAAAATTATCTCATAGTTTAAAAAAAAAAAACAAAACAACTTTAAAAATGCATGCATAGTGATTATACATAGTAAGAACATAGTTATTGTAGACATAATTATTGATCAGCAGTCCCTGTTTTGATCCCTCTCAGATGGAAAGGATTATCCTTCTTACTTATACTAACATAACTGTTGTTTGTCTGGGGGCAAAGCCCCTGAGCATGAGCCGAGACACTCAGAGGTTCCTTACTCTGAGCAGAGGCAAACCACAAAAGGTCAGGCTCGGAGGCAGTTTGGAACAGGAAAACTGAAACCGTGGTGGTGGTGGTTATAGTGGGGAGTTCACTTGTGAATCCAAAGATTGTCAGATAATGCTGTCATTGATAAAAGGGAAATTTGTATCTTTTGAAATCTCTTTCAATACTCAAAAACCTTGGGGGAATTTTTGATTGCCCCAAACTTTGGAAATAGTATCATCAAAAATGAAGTAGCCTCTTGGAACAACAGACATGCAAAATGGAAGAAAAATGTGAATGGTATGTTGCCGTCCTTGGCTAGACAATCAGTGGGGCTCAGGAATATGTCAGAAGGAAGCCAGTGACGGCTTGTCTCTAATGATAGTGGTAATGTAAATAGGATCTCTAGGGTGATTTATAGCCTCCCAAAGTGCCTTAACCTCCTTACCTTTGGCAAGGTTTTCCTCATGAGAAATGTATGTCTCACTGCAATTATTAAATTGACTTTCTGGTAAGAGTCCTAAAGAAAAGTTAGGTGTGAGTTAAGTTGGTTTCTTTCATTTTCTTCTCTGTAACAGAAGAAACATTTAAAACTTTAGGTGCACTAGCATGCTTAGTGTCCTTAACAGAGTAATGGAGAACAATGTGTTCCTTACCACTTGATATTCTGGTCCTGCAGAGTTGAGGAACCTTACCAGGGGCTTTGACACCTTTCTCAGCCACCACTCAATCTCTGTTCCAACAAAAATTTTTGAGTGTGTGCGTGGATGATGAGGACATCTAGTGTCCTTGTAAAGATTGTTGTTAGGTGCCATCGAGTCGGTACCGACCCATAGCGATCCTATGCACAGCAGAACGAAACACTACCCAATCCTGGGCCAAGTTCATGATTGTTGCCATGCTTGAGCCCATTGATGCTGCCACTTGGCCACTCCATCTTGCTGAGGGTCTTTCTCTTTTTCTCTGACCCTCTACCTTACCAAACATGATATCCTTCTCCAATGACTGGTCCCTCCTGACAATATGTCTGAAGTATGAGAGATGAAGTTTGGCCATCCTGGCCTCCAAGGAGCACTCTGGCTGCACTTCTTCCAACACAGATCTGTTGGTTCTATGGGCAGTCCATGGCATTTTCAGTATTCTCCTCCAACACCATAACTCAAAAGCATCAATTCTTCTATGGTCTTCCTTATTCACTGTCCAGCTCTCGCATGCATATGAGGTTATTAAAACTACCATGGCTTCAGTCAGGCGCACCTTAGTCCTCAAGCTGACGTCTTTGCTCTTCAACACTTTAAAAAGATCTTGTGCAGCAGATTTGCCTAATGCAATACGTTATTGATTTCTTGATTACTGCTTCCATGAGTGTTGATAATTGATCCAAGAAGAATGAAGTCCTTGACAACTTCCATCTTTTCTCCGTTGATAAGAATGTTGTTTATTGTCCATGGACGCCTTTAAGTCAGCTCTCAAAGTAGTCACAAACTTTCCCACTGAAAGATGCCTTGAAAGTAAATCTGGCAATGGGCTTCCAAACGTTCACAGCCTTAAAAATACTACACAGTTCTACTCTGCACACATGGGGCCTCCAGGAGTAGGGATTTCTTCCATAGCAACCAATACCTGTTCCCACCTACAAGATTGGCAGATCTTGTAGCAGCTCTATCTATACTGCTCACACTCCAGCCAATACTAATTGTAGAAGCAGTGGGAGTCCACTTCATACCATAAGGAGGGTAAGAATCAGAAGGAAGGTCACACACTTTGATATGTGTGCAAACTGCACACATACATACTCTAGAAAAGGTACACAATAATGGGACTTCGGGTGTCTTCTCGGGTTACTCGAATGCAGGCATTGCCTGTGTTGGCACTGCTGGGCCAGTTTGTCACTCACCATAACCATTTTATTTATTCATTCATTTGCTTACACACTCATTCAAGAAATATTTACTGAGCATCTACACTAGATGCTCAACCTGCGATATGCAGATGATACAAACTTGATTGCTGAAAATGAAGAGGACTTAAAACATTTACTGATGAAAATCAAAGAGCAC